CCAGCCAGCCAGCCAGCCAGCCAGCCAGCCAGCCAGCCAGCCAGCCATCCATCCATCCATCCATCCATCCATCCATCCATGCATCCATCCATGTGGGCCTGCCGCACCTTTGAGTTGATCTCAGGCCAGGAAATCCGTGGACTTGGGTCGATCTGTCTGGGGTGCGAGGTGGGGTAGATTCCCCAGGAGTACCTGTTGCTTGGGTGCTGATCTGCCCGGTATGTATATAGATGTTGCTGCACCAACCTGTTCAACGTAGGGGTTGAGGTGCAAAGACAAAATAACGGCAAAGCCCAAACCAGCAAACTGGTAGTAGAGGAACTCAGTCAAAACGGTCGTGACATTGAAGGTGCGACATAATGCGCAAACCTAGTTTGCAGGCCGCCACCTGAAGCATAGCACGAACAGCGGGCGAAGGGTCCGCATCAAAGGTGATCCAACCACTTTTGGCAGTAACACGAGGCTGACGGACCCACCAACCATGGGCAACATTGAAGGAAGCTTCAATTTCTTGTCGAAATGAACGAAACTGAGGGCACAAGGCCCAAAAATGCCTCATGGAAGCATCTTCAGCTTTGCAAAAAGGACAACTTGTGTTGTTAAAAGGCATATTAGCACGTCGTGTCGGGGAAGTGGCAGCACCACCCCGAAACACAGAGAGTAGTAGCTTTTCCTTAGGATCAAGAGTAGCTTTCCAATCACGCCAAGTCTGATGAGAACTGGCATCAATGTCGACATCAGTGATACCTTCGGCGTCAAAACGAGAGCGCCGAACAGAAAGCAAACATTGATATCTGGCAGCTAATCGAAGGGCGTGCGCCCCAGCTTTGCGGTCCACTGTAAAAGTCCAAGCATCGTCAGACCAAGTGACATAGGGTTCAAGAACACGAGTCAGGCCATCCCGAACGGAGCGAAGACGAACAGTCACCCGACAGGCATCCCATGAAGCGAGCTGGAGATTTAACTCAGCAAGATGGCTGTTGATAGCGGCTTGTAAAAATTCCGAAGGAGGTTCTGGGAATCGAAGGCAAAACATAGCACTACCCACAGCTGCGCTGAGAGCAGGATGTAAATCAACGCGGTCTGCCCAGAACCGGCCGGGGCACCACCAATTGCATTGAGTGTGATTCAAAAGAGCGCGTCGAAAAGCAACGACAACGTCAGAAGAAGGCGATTGGAGCAAGGGAAGGGCCCAAAACCATTTGCCTTTGAGGAATGTTCGGACGGCCGCTTCACGAGTAAGCAGGCCACCTGGTAATCGCGCCAACAAGGGCAAAACTTCAAGTATAGGAGCCCAGCCATTGCGGAGACATGGTAGCTCGCCAGACAAAGGATCAACGGAGAGACCAAGATGCCCGGTATGTATCCAGACATTTGTCCAATTTGTTCAGTGTTCGTGCAGGTTTTTCAGCGTTTGTTGGTCAGGTTGGTCAGTGTGGATGGCACCGTTGTAGGTGACTAAGGGAAAATGCTCCATGTGTTGACGTTGAAGCCATTTCCTCCGTTTGCCAACAGTAGATGCTTTGTTTTGCTTAACTGTTGTTGTGCTTGTTCAATGTTCGTGAGCTGTCGGTCCAGGGAGGGGAAATGGACCGTTGAAAGGCCCAGGTCAAGCAAACGAGTGGCCCTGCAGAACCAATTGTGTTGTTTGTGATGCTGCATTGTCCCATAGGTCCTCCGATCGTGTGGTGAGACCTGTATGTGTCTGGTGGCAAACTTTGGTGCTGCCTCCTGTGGTTTGCGTTGCGAATCTTGATATTATACAGAGGAGTCTTCCTGTGGAGGGATCATGGCAGCATTTTGGAAGTCTCAACCGCTCGGCTTGATGGTACAGTTGCCATGTATGGTCAACCGGGCTTCGCTTCTTGTAGGGCTCTCGGATCTGTTGATCTCCACGCGTAGCGTGGCGAGCCGTATTGTGTGGCCGGGTGTTCGGTTCGATTTGTGGCTTTGGTGGAGGATTCCTCTGTGCTGGTCCTGTTTCCATTTCATTTGCAGGCTGCATTGCAGCCCTTTGTGATTGGAGATGTTCTGCGCCGTATTGTTCAGTATGTGTGAGGTCACTTCGGTTACCAGATTTGATCAGTGGTCTCTTTGCTTTTCCTCGTGGTTTGTGCTTGTTGGAGGCTTTCCGTCATGCAAGTTAGCCGGTCAGCCGTAGTTTGTATGTGAGCTTGGATCGTGTTGAAGTCTCCTGTCCAGAGCCAAGGCCGGTTACCTGCATTAGCCTTGCGTGCCATGAGGATTTCATTCATGAGGATTTCATTCGCCGTTGTCATAGCTTTTTCATGCTTTTTCTATGACCAGTGGTTTGGGGGGAAACATCACTGTTCAGAATCAGCCAGCTGCCCACCTCTATGGCACAGAGTCGCCCGGAGTCTTGTCGCCGGCCAGAGCTCCTCCCCCATCGGGTTGGTACGGTGCGGATGCTTGGCTTTAGAAGCAGTGGTAACCAGATGGCTGTCTGCGTGAGATGGCGTAGAAGCTTCTCGTTGGCACTGAGGGCAGCATGCGGGCAGCCACGCCATGCATGGTTTGAAGTTCTCGTTTTCTCGGCGCAGATCGAAGGATTTGCTGTTTGTTTTTGACTTGAATTCTCCAGCTCTGCTTGTGAGTTCAACCAACACATCTCTCCAATCCTCAACAAAATCCGGGTGATGGCACAGCCTCGCGCCTCGTGGGTTCCTTGCAAGGCCAAGAACTACCAGTGCACGAACGACGGCACCATGACGCCCAATTGGGATTGCACCATGTGGGCGGGCTTCGGCACCACCTTTGCCTACATCCAAACAGGCCGAGCGACACGGCGACTGCGGCGTGGCAGCCGTGGGAGACCCAGGGCGGCGCTGGAATGTACGGGGCAGCTGTGGGGGCCCGTGGGGGCGCCAGAAAATGGCCTCTCCTCTCGTACCATGAAGTATCTATATACTTAGAGTATACTGATACTCAGTATACCATAGTATACCTAGTGGGCCCGGGCTGCCTGAATTGCCTTCAGGCTCATCCCACCAAGTGAGACAGACCACTTTTGGAGCAGATCTACGAAGGGCGCAGCATCTCAACGCGCTTCAACTTGGTTTGTAGGCCCTTGTTGTTGCATCTCTCAACCATGATCGTTTTTCAAGAATCGCATTGCTGGCAAGACTCAGCACGTCGTATTGCCAAGTCGCGCTGATGTAGATCTGGGTGTCACCCAAAAAGTTCTCCCCAGCCGGGGGTATCCGATGGTCAGGTTGCTCCTCGTCTTCCCACTGATCCGACTTCGGATGGATCATCCGACGTCTTCAGGATTTGACGGCGCCATGGTACCAAGTCGTCACGAAGTACGGTCCATCCATTCGGACGATGTCTCATCCATATTGGATGTGTTGAACACCATGAAACGCCATGCAGCAATGCAAAAGAACAGACACCTTGGTGCTTCTTGGTTTCACTGCCAGGCCTGTATGGGCATGCTCAAGCAGGCACGACCTTGGCCATGTCGAAGAGAGGTTCCGGGTCACTTGGACGATGGAAGCGTCGACCGACCCACGGTGGTGGCGAAGTCTCAGTGAGCAAGTCACGTGGTGATTCGATCTGTCACAAGGAGTTCATTATAGTTATAGTACGCACATCCATTATAGAAGAAATTGCTTGAGCCAATCTATTTGAATATATGTTTTGATATCTATAATAGTTTCCCGTACTGTAATTGATGTATCCCGGTAGGAATATCCACTACAGAATGTAGTTTGTGTTGAGTTTTTTTTTCTATATTTTTTCGGGAGGGGTAGGGTCCTTTTACTCAGCACAGTCTCTGGCCACCGGCATGTTATAGAAAGAACATTGGCCGCGACAGAGAGGACAGATCATGGCAGACAGAGGGATAGAGAGAGAGAGAAAGCATGAGAAAGCTTAACTGATCGAACTATAATATATACAGAAAGGAGCGCTATATATAGTAATAATACTAATAATTGGGGTCTGTCCTATTACCTGTAACAGTCAGTAAACAGTTCTCACTATTGTTGGACAAGGCCTTTACTAACCATCATCATCCACTGTTACAGGAAATAGGACAGACCAAAATAACAATAATAACAATGATAATAGTAATAATATATAACCATACTATGTCATATGTGATCATATATGATTACTATAATCTATATGCATTTCAGTATATTATACTTATATAGATTGATGGTGCCCAACCTTCCAGCATCATTTGGACCCGTTTGGGGACTCTCTTGATTGCTTAACATGGAATCATATGGAATCCATGAAATGGTTTGAGATGTGTTGAGAAGGTTCGTTCCATACCCAGACACTCCACGTATGGAATCGAATATATCGAAGGAACATGAGTGAATACATGGTGCCCCGCCCCCGGGGATAAAGACTAGTCACAACCTTGGATGGTTCCGTAGTGTTTGGCTCTAGGGCGGTTGATGACCTGTCTCGGGTGCCATAACCGCCTGAAGTTGGCAGTGGGAACCTCGGGGCAGTGCAATCCCTGCTACCTCGTGGACCGGATCCATTGGGTAGTTCAGACCAGGTACCCACCGGCCAAAGCCGAAGAGCTCACGCACTACCTGGCCAAGGTCCTGAATACCCTCGAGGCTGACACCGAGGCTTTCGAGTCTGACCGAACGTCAGGTTTGGTGGATATTGAGGGATATTTGGTGGAAGTGCGAAAGCTGGACAAGGCTACGCTGCCACCAAAGCTGAGCGCGGGGGTACACCCTGGACAGCGTGATCCGCAAGCTTCATCAGCGGGTCCGAGCAAAGCAACAAAGGAAGTTGAGACTGGCGGGGCATCAGAGACCCTGGCAAGCAGAGGCGGCGCAGGCGAGAAGACAAGGCAAGGTCTCGCAGCCGGAGCCGGAGACGTGAGCGAAAGAAGCCAATGAGGGAACCTACCCCGGAGCCTGAGGAGGAGGTCGCAACAGAGGCAGAAGTAGAAGAAGAGGAAGCCGAGGCGGAAGCTGAAGCAGAGGCTGAGGTAAAGGACGAGGAGGTCGACGAATCACCTCACGACGACGAGGCCAGCCCGGACACGGAGGTTGCCAGAGATCCGGAGGGAGCAGGACTTCGAAAGGTCCCGCCAAAGCCCTCAGCGAGGAAACCATTGCCGAGGAGGCCACGTACTCCATCAAGGTCACCACCAGGTTTCCGTGATCGACGACCCCAACCGGCGAAGAAGTGGAAGGGAGTCAGACACATCATTCGGGGGCAGACCCTGGGCTATAGCGACTACGGACGACGTCCGAAGGGAAAGGGAAAAGGGAAATGGCACCGAAGATGAGGAGACCGGCAGCGGCCGCAAGGCCCGACCGAAGGAGGAGAGGCATACTTCGACCTGCAGCTCATCACGAAGATGTCGGAGCCCCGGGGGAAGAGACCCTGGCGTGGGACCCGAGTGTGGGCGATTTGGTGATGGCCGAGGGGGCACATTACTTCGGCGCTCCCTGTCGCTTCACAGGCCGCATTCTCGAAGACTCGAGGGACGCTGCAGGACGCCACCTGGCCATTCGACTTCATGGCACCGATCACGAACCCCTGCTGACGTGGGCCACCGGGACGTCAGTCCCAGCCCGCGTGCACCTTTGCCCCGAAGGGTGTTCGAGGGAAGCAGAAGGGCCAGGTCTACTACACTGCAACGATCTCCGCAGCATCAAGTCCTTAGAGGAGCTAGTCGGAGTCCCTTGGCGAGACGTTTTGTTGGAGGGACGACCCAAAGCAGAGGACGAGCTGGCAGGCTTGAGGTCGAGGATGGATGGCATCGGGGGACCAAGCCCTGGGGCAGTTGCAGCAGCCGCCGAGATCGAGGAGAAGGAGAAAAAGGAGAAAGCAGAAAAGGAGAAAAAGAAGTCAAAGAAAAAGAAAAAGAAGAAGCGAAGGAGGGGCCGATCTTCAAAGTCCAGAAGCGAGGCCTCGAAGAAGGAGAAGGACAAGAGAAGAAAGAAAGACACGGGGAAAAGCCCTGGCAGTTCATCCAGCTCAACGAGCAGCTCATCCACCGTCGAGTTCAAAGCGGTGACGCAGGAGGTGCTG